AAGTCAGGCGGCATATTAGATCGTCTATTACTAAAATCTACAACACAACAGTAGTCCTTTTAAAAATCTTTTAATGTGTCATTGTTAATAAAGTTGTGTCGTCAATATATATTTTGATTCAAATGATGCTCGTGTACATATAAACGCAAACACTTAATCAGGTGATTGTTTTTCCAGGTCTGCATGGTCACTGCTTACATCAACCGTAAGCCCCCAGTCGATGAATTCTCGGGAATTATCGCGTGATTTCACAGTTTGGCTAATTAGGTTAGACATGCGCAGTTAAATGTGAAACTGGTGTATTATGTTTTGAGAAACGCCTTTACGATAAATGGCATCCAAGATAAGGGAAACATGATTTCAAAGCTATTTTTACTATGAATGCTGTAGTGTATCAACATTCTTTATATAAATAAGTCTAAATCGAAAACAAACGTTCAAACCTATGATTGCGTTGGATAAAAACCGCAATTTTTATACGTGTGCATGCAAAACAAATTTCTTGGTAGAGGGGTCTAAATACAGCACAAACAACATTTTCCAAAAGACCAAAAAAAGTGAAAAGTATATTTAAACAAAACGCACTTGACTAACAGGTCGAACAACGGATGTTCTTTTAAAACCCTGCTGACTGCCGTTGGCGATTGCCAAATAAACGGATCACAAGATGTAACAAAATGAATCTTTATTATTAATTAAATACCAAACAGAAAACAATAAACTTGCGGAAAAGATGGTATACCACAAACATGAGGTGCAAAAATTTGTACACCATATCCGGATTTCGACAATTAATGTCTCTTCAGTGATGTTAGGGATCGAAACGGTATTTGGAAGGCCATATAATTAATCTCAATTTAGGATGGACTCTTGAATTTTGAAGAGTCGAAATAGGATGAACGGATCATATAAACCCGAAGGCAAATATAATACAAGCCCAAACGAAAAAATATAAATAAATATATATATATATCCTTCCCCCACTTACTATATAGCTGCATTTTGTAACATTTTATAACCAAAATATTGACTATTTCTTTCATTTTATTTTTAATGTCAAAATTCATAACATGATGTGTGTAATAACAATGAAAGTAAAACCCAAAGTTTTATTTTTTTCTTTAATTTTTTTTTTTAGAATAGCTTATCAAAGAGAGTGAAAATTCCTAATGATTGAAATATTGCAGTTAACTCCATATTAAGAACTCAAAATATAATTCATTATATTTTATAAAAGGTAGAGCAATTTAACAAAGTTAATTTATAACTGTTAAAACAACAACACTGGTATTACCTTCTTTTGTTTATTTAATCATTTCAGATAAATTCGTACTTCGCCCTAGTACAATTTCTTCTCGCCTCTATACGTTTTTACTTATCGTTTTATATGAACTATGTATTATTGTAATGTTGTCATGGGCCGCGTGCAAGGGTGCTGCTATTTAATTGGAAATAAAACATAGCTTTAAAATACAACCTAGCATAATCGTTATCTGCCTGCAATCAAAATACTGGAATCGCTATGACAAATTCATGTCATATAATACTTTATTGAAAACATTTTACGCCCATACGGGCCAATGGTTTACAAACATACATGTATATATAACAAACAATGAACATAAACAATACATATAAATCTTACAATTATGATGTTTTGTGTGTGTGTGTGTTTTTGTATCTCTATATATATATGTAATTACACAGTTTGAAATATTTTTAAGGACTCCCTGTCCTTAGTGTCATTTTTTAAAACGGAGCCTAATTTGTTGGTATCCTGTTTTGTTTCAGGATTAAGAATTTGTTTTAATTTATCCATATTGTTTGAGCTTATATTAGATTGATTTTCAATAAAAAGTTCTTTTTTTAATTGTTCATTAATTTTACATTTAAAAAAAATGGAATTCGTCATCTAAACACCATAATGTGTACAAATTCTTAAATATCTAGGATATTTTCTGTATCTACCAGTTTCTATTAATAAACTGTGGTCGCTAATTCGAAATTTACAAATTAATTGTCTATGTTCAAAGTTTTGGGAAAGTAGGTATGTTTCAAAGCGATAACCTTTTTTATTTTTTTTTTAAGTTGGAGTTTACCTTTTTCTTGTAAATGTGATATTGTATTAAGAGTTTTCCAAATTTCGTTTGTATATTAACTTATTATTTTTCTTTTATTATTATTATCCGTCTTTTGATTATCAATTACTAAATCAGTTTGATTTCTTACATAATCAACATAAGAATACCATGAATAAATGCCAGAGTTATGTAGAGATTTGTCTAAATCAAGTGTTACACTTAGTAGGGGCTACACTGTTTCTTCCCTTAAAAGTATATCATGAAAAAGAAGAGTTTGTCTTTTATGAAGCAATCAATGGGATAGCTGCCCAATTCTGATCGAACAGCGATATTACATGAGCATTTTTTTACTCCTAAAGTTAGCTTATCAAACTTATTTAATACTTTATCAGGGGGACTTTTGTCAATGAAATTAAGAGCGTCCACTTTTTTATTGTTTTTATCTCCTCTAATTGAAGCTTTATAAAAGGATAAGTATGTTATCCATATACCATATTTCACTGTTGTAAGTTAATATTGGTCTAACTAGTGAATTAAATAAATGATTTGATAAAGTCAAAGGTGTTTGATAAATTGAATTACAATATGTTTTTATAGAATTCATGACTTTCATAGATTTTTTGGCTGATTCTTGTGCAGAATGAATAAGATTTCCATTCTGACTAATGATATTACCAAGAAATTTAAACTTTTGCATTTACTCTAATTTCTCACCATTATAATCAAAAGAATGGTTAAGATGTTTCCTATTATTACTTGTACTTAAAATCATAGTTTTAGTTTTTTACAATTTACTGTTATCTGCCATCTATCACAGTATTGGGATAAAGGGTTTAAACTTGACTGAAGACCCTCTTTAGTGTCAGACATTATCAATATATCATCTGCAAACAAGAGGCTTCCAGTATTTGTGTGCACTATTTTCAAGGGAACACATTCATTTTGTTTTAAAAATTTCAGGAAGATCATTAAGAAAAATATCGAACAAGGGGACTTAAAAAGGTGGGACTTAAAGAGTCCCCTTGTTTTACCCCTCTAGTTACTTCAAACCAGTTAATGAGTTTATCGTTCATTTTAATTGAAGATTTTGTAGTGGAATATATATTTTTAATTACTCGATACATTTTACTGCCAATACCTTGAGATACTATTTTATATAATAAAGCAGTTCTCCAAATAGAGTCAAATGCTTTGCGTAAGTCAACAAAGCATAGTGTTTTCTTTTTTGCATTTAAATATTTATCAATTAAAGTCTTAAATATAAATAGACTATATGTTCTTCTTATGTTAGGAAGAAATCCAAATTGTTCCTTACTAAATTTGTTTTCCATATATGTTGTGTTGGCTAGAAACTTAGGGTGTGGAAATATACTAAGGCAAATGCGTATTCCAGAGAAAGTTTATTAATCTTTATTATATCCAGTGAACACAGTAAACACAGTGATATATTCTAATAAAGTTCAATACATCATAACGTTCCATATTTAATTCCTCGATACGAATACGTTCCATACAAATACGTCATACTCTAAATACGGTAAATACGATTTACTGAAAAGAAAACAGAAAAATACTGTCATTCGCTTGATTAATAAAAGTTCAAAACATGCAAAATACATGTTATCCAGAGAACAATAAACAAATGTATAAATACCAAAAATTGTAAACATCTTGTTTTACCCAGTGAAAATACATAAAAACAATATTAACCACAAATCAATGAAACATCATTGACACAAAAATCTAATTATCGATTCGCACTTTACAACCCGTGAAATATCTATTTATAGAAATACAACATGCGTCTGAGAGGACTTTGACAATTATATTCACTGAATAAAGTTCTTAAATTATACAATACAACTCAGACAAGTTACGGAAGGTTTATACAATAATTTCAATACAAAAAACTCACCAAATTAGAAATATTTCCACAAAATTTCGACACAGATTTTGTCAAGTTATTGGCGTCATTTTCATTCGGAACTCTCTAATAATCACTGTACATGAATAGTGAATCGACAAAAAATATGTTTATGAAATTGACATTACATATGTAATTATTCTGTTATTCAAAACTGAACTAAATATTTTTGGCAATTCCATTTATAAGAGATATTCATATAAACGATGTTGCTAAAATCGTTTAATATAACGAAAGGAGTGGGTTCGGTGAGGCCCCAATATTGGCCTTGATTGTAGATACACTGTCAAGTAAAGTATTAACTTTTCGAGCTGCAATCGACGAGGACAGTCTACACTGTCGCTTTCTTTGCTAACGCTGGTGAGACTTGAATTTCAACCTATATATAGTTTTATTATGTGTAGTAAGCCGGATGTTACTTTTGAATAGTTTTTTTTGTATTTGGAGGTTTTAGCCAGAGATAATTTGTGCCATGAGGTCCTAAGCTGGAGGCACGTGTTGTTGAAATTTATTATATGTCATAGTTGTGTGTTTGCCTTTGCCTTTGACTCTTGATTGTTATTTTCAATTTTAATTAGAAATTTAGGGCCGAGGTATTCTCGATTTCTTTTTTTTTCTATAAAATGTGGGCAAGTGGCTGCCAAATCAAAACAAATCAAATCAAAAGCTTTATTTAAAGTCGGCATGTCACAAAACAATAACATAAGCTCTGAGCTTTTATAACCGACAAATACATACATTTACACAATAAACATACACAATACTGATATTGAAACATAAATGACATAAAACATATATTTCATGCACAGTTAGGCAAGGCTGAACTAATTTAAATACTACACATTATATGCATGCATGAGCACTAAAGCTAAACGTAGCATTAAAGCCTGATCGAAGTTAATTTTATCTGAAATTACTACATGTATGACGAAGGGTTTTTGTCATTTGTGCAATTAATCGAATTTTGTGTAACATAATAATGTTTTTTTTCTCAGGTGTTCAGAGTTTCCAATATGGGATTGTCGGCAAAAGTAAGTATGAATACAATTAAATAGTCTACAGAATATTGAATTTCTAATGATCTTATTGTAGACTGCTAAAACGTTTTTCACGGAGACAGGGATCTCCATGACCTGTTTTATGATAGCGCACCGCCATTGTTAAATAACTGCATGCGCTATAATTGAAAGGTGGTGTCAAAATTTAATTTCGTTTCGCTAGCCGCCGCCATTTTTGTTAGCAGTTATAATCAAACCAGGTTTAATCCACCATTTTCTACATAAGGAAATGCCTGTACCAAGTCAGGAATATGACAGTTGTTTTCCATTCGTTTGATGTCTTTTTGAGCTTTTGATTTTGCCATTTGATAAGGGACTTTCCGTTTTGAATTTTCCTTGGAGTTTGGTATTTTTCGTTATTTTACTTTTTGCATGTAATTGCGCAACCCTTATTGTATTATAATCCAAAGGGTCCTCCTGATTACAATTTCAAAGCCCTGAGGGATATCCGGCTAATTATCGCTAATCACTTGTACAGGTAGATCGACACACTTGACATTAGAATATTGCAAAGTGCTCTCGTCCAATGAAAGTGTAGAATTTGGTGTTCCTTAATTGTGAATAATGAATGTAAATCATGTTCTTAGTAAGGGATTATCCTTTTGTTTAGGCCTATTTACAGTTCAAAACAAAGAATTTCTTTTAAATGAGTTACAACTGCCTGAAGCACATTTTTAAGGATTATTGATCGAAAGTTGAATTTTGAAACAAACAAAAATGATCAGAATCAGTTTGAAGTTTACTTGTGCAGTACAATTGATACCGTTTGTGTTATTATGTGAATATTTAGAACTTTCAAAGTACCAAAAAAAAAATAATATCAAAAACAAAAACAAAAACAAAAACAAAAACAAAAACTTTTAAAAATAAAACTTAAAAATATAAACTAAATCTTTAGCTACATGTATTACGCTTATCAAAACTCAGATTACTGTATTCGCAGTTAGTAAGAATAGTCATTTCCGAAATACCGGTACATACGTTTGGATTTCATATAAAAAGCAATTTCTTTCAACATTTAAATTTTAATTAAGTAGTATTTAATGTAAAGAGCTGGAATGAAATTGGCTGTGGAATACAATTTAGTCGTAACTCTGATTTTGAATTTATTAAATTGAACTGTAAATAAACAAAAAGATAATTTCTCACTAAAATATTACATATTTTACACTCATACTCACAATTAGGAAACTTATGCAATTTCTACAATTTCATTGTAACGTTGTGTCATCTAATGTCTAAACACAATTTATTAAAATTTCCCAAATCAAAAGTAAGTCCTTACATCACTAAGACCAATACATGAATGAAATGCCTAAAAGGGAAGTCATCCATTAATTATAACCTAAACATTGCACTGACAATGAAACAAATTCTTGAATAAAACCAATTTAGAGTTGAGCCTTGAGCACTTTACAATATTCTAAGTTTGTAAGAGAATGATAATCCCTTTCATCATGATAAGTACTCGCTAACGCTCGTACTTAATCACGAAGAAAGGGATTATCATTCTCTTACATATACGGAGAACACTTGGTCATGATAGACGTTTCATTGCTTTATTTAATTGTAAACGTTTCAGCAAATGATAATGAAAATTTAGGTAAAAAAAAATGAATTTGAAATCCAATTACGAAGAAAAAAGTTGAAGTCGAACACGTGCTTTTATTGACTTCGGCAATCAGCTCCCCCATTTTTTTAACGATTTCAAAATAAGACGTAAAAACAGAACATAATTTCATGCCTATAATAACACGAGTACAACAGTTATCCATAATATTGAATCTCCGGGAGAACTTGTGAACAAGACAACCTGACAAATGAAAAACATAACAAAAAACATCTATCATAAACTTCTGTAAAATTTGTCAGTTAAAACATTTTCCCGATGTTTAACAGAGTATAATTGGTTGTACATTATTATGTTTAATGTATCATAATATAATAAAACTTTATTCAAAAGTAATATAGCTCTTGGAATATACATTTTTACATTAAATTTTAAATGCATCAGTGTAATATTAATAGCAATAATTATACAAAATACACATATGGCGGAGAATGACAAATTCATATGATAAATGAGGAATACAACTACATATTACGGATTTTTTTAGATATTGAACAACAATTTACCTAAATTATAAAGTTCTTTCACATTGTGAACTGTTACCAACTGAACAAGTTTAAAAGTGGATGGTTTTTGCCAATAATATATCTTAATATAATTGTTTTCTTTCATCACTATACCAATTACATTCTAAAATAATATGGTATTCATCTTCAACAATATTGTTATTGCACATAGTACATAACCTATTTTCTCTATCTACATTGTAATATCTGCCTGTCTCTATATTGACAGAGTTACGATATTTACATATAAAAGGTTTATATATTTGATTAACAGGTCTATCTAAATAAAATTGCAATGTATCTGTGTCATATATATATATAATATACTTTTCACTTTTTTGGTCTTTTGGAAAATGTTGTTTGTGCTGTATTTAGACCCCTCTACCAAGAAATTTGTTTTACATGTACACGTATAAAAATTGCGGTTTTTATCCAACGCAATCAAAGGTTTGAACGTTGTTTTCAATTTAGACTTGTTTATATTTTTTCGTTTGGGCTTGTATTATATTTTCCTTCGGGTTTATATGATCCGTTCATCCTATTTCGACTCTTTAAAATTCAAGAGTCTATCCTAAATTGAGGTAAATTATATGGCCTTCCAAATACCGTTTCGATCCCTAACATCACTGAAGAGACATTAATTGTCGAAATCCGGATATGGTGTACAAATATTTGCACCTCATGTTTGCGGTATACCATCTTCTCCGAAAGTTTATTGTTTTCTCTATGGTATTAAATTAATAATTAAGATCCATGTTACATTTCGTGATCAATTTATTTGGCAATCGTCGATGGCAGTCAGCAGGGTTAAAGAACATCAGTTGTTCGACCTGTTAGTCAAATGCGATTTGTTATAATATACTTTTCACTTTTTTGGTATTTTGGAAAATGTTGTTTGTGCTGTATTAAGACCTCTCTACCAAGAAATTTGTTTTACATGCACACGTATAAAAATTGCGGTTTTTATCCAACGCAATCATAGGTTTGAACGTTGTTTTCAATTTAGACTTGTTTATATTTTTTCGTCTGGGCTTGTATTATATTTTCCTTCGGGTTTATATGATCCGTTCATCCTATTTCGACTCTTTAAAATTCAAGAGTCTATCCTTTAATGAGGTAAATTATATGGCCTTCCAAATACAGTTTCGATCCCTAACATCACTGAAGAGACATTAATTGTCAAAATCCGGATATGGTGTACAAATTTTTGCATCTCATGTTTGCGGTTTACTATCTTCTCCGAAAGTTTATTGTTTTCTGTTTGGTATTAAATTAATAATTAAGATCCATGTTACATCTCGTGATCAATTTAATTGGCAATCGTCGATGGCAGTCAACAGGGTTTAAGAACATCAGTTGTTCGACCTGTTAGTCAAATGCGATTTGTTAAAATATACTTTTCACTTTTTTGGTCTTTTGGAAAATGTTGTTTGTGCTGTATTTAGACCCCTCTACCAAGAAATTAGTTTTACATGCACACGTATAAAAACTGCGGTTTTTATCCAACGCAATCATAGGTTTGAACGTTGTTTTCAATTTAGACTTGTTTATATTTTTTCGTTTGGGCTTGTATTATATTTTCCTTCGGGTTTATATGATCCGTTCATCCTATTTCGACTCTTTAAAATTCAAGAGTCTATTCTAAATTGAGGTAAATTATATGGCCTTCCAAATACCGTTTCGATCCCTAACATCACTGAAGAGACATTAATTGTCGAAATCCGGATATGGTGTACAAATGTTTGAACCTCATGTTTGCGGTATACCATCTTCTCCGAAAGTTTATTGTTTTCTGTATGGTATTAAATTAATAATTAAGATCCATGTTACATCTCGTGATCAATTTATTTGGCAATCGTCGATGGCAGTCAGCAGGGTTTAAGAACATCAGTTGTTCGAGATGTTAGTCAAATACGATTTGTTAAAATATTTTTAAAACTGACGAGGAAAGGTAACACCCGGCCACCGAAAGCTTTATTATTGTGAAGCCTAGGTGGTCGTGTGGTCTAGCGCGTCGGATACAGTGCAGGCGATTTGGTGTCACGATATCTCAGTAGCATGAGTTCGAATCCCGGCGAGGGAAGAACAAAAAATTTGCGAAAGCAAATTTACAGATCTAACATTGTTGGGCTGATGTTTAGACGAGTTGTATATACAGAATGTACACAGCCATGTATCACCATCACTGCTGGTGATCCGATGGATAAATCTGTTGTAGAGTTGTCACTGGTTCAGACGTACTTATAAATATAGTTATTTCTGTGACTGTATCTTGCATTAATTTGTAGGATCCTTTACAATAGATATTTCAGCTGATCTGTAACAATTCCATCTTCATGCCTTATATATCATGTACCGTATTACGACGCTAGATTAAAACTGACGAGGAAAGGTAACACCCGGCCACCGAAAGCTTTATTATTGTGAAGCCTAGGTGGTCGTGTGGTCTAGCGCGTCGGATACAGTGCAGGCGGTTTGGTGTCACGATATCTCATAGCAAGAGTTCGAATCCCGGCGAGGGAAGAACAAAAAATTTGCGAAAGCAGATTTACAGATCTAACATTGTTGGGCTGATGTTTAGACGAGTTGTATATATATATCGTGTAAGGAAATATGGGACTCTAGAAATTGACTATGAGGGTCGGTTGAAAACAAAAAAATTACGACAAAAGAGATGATTTCAGCTTCCCAACTGTGATCTTTTCATTTTTCAACCAAGAGTTCCAAATGGTGCAGTTGAAATCATCACTTCGTAAATTTTACGGACGCCATCACGAGTTGGTTGACCGTAATGGAACATCCGTTCCACAGATGAGATCGGATATGTTCCTTATGTCGTAACTACAATCCCGTTCCCTTTTCACGAATGTGACCTACCGAATTAGACTATTTACCGGCTTTGTAATAACATGAGCACGACGGGTGCCACATGTGGAGCAGGATCTGCTTACCCTTCCGGAGCACATGAGATCACCCCCAGTTTTTGGTGCATGGGGTTCATGTTGCTGTTGTACCCCTATTTGTGACATTTTTACCTATTGTGTCTGTTTGTTTTGTTCACACATCGTTGTCAATATAATGGAATTTGATGCGACTGTCATACAAGTGAGAGGTTTAGCTAGCTTTAAAACCAGGTTTAATCCACCATTTTCTGCATAAAAAAATGCCTGTACCAAGTCAGGAATATGACAGTTATTATCCATTCGTTTGATGTGTTTGAGCTTTTGATTTTGCCATTTGAATAGGGACTTTCCTTTTTGAATTTTCCTCGAAGTTCAGTATTTTTGTGATTTTACTTTCTTCTTCAAATTTGCAGAAAAGTTTCATCAAACCTTAGATGAGCTCGATAATTTGGAGTTTTGAAATGGGAACCATTTTTCTGTAAGGGAACTTATTAGGGTCCCATATCAATTCTAGACGCCGGGATATTGTACTCATTCTTATGAGATCCTCTTCAAATTTGTATGACGGTTATCACTCAATGTTTTAGATAAGTTAGATGATCAGATAAATGTAAAATGGGGAGACATTTTTTTCACATAAGGTGGACTTTTAAAAACATTATATATTAATTATTGTCCCAGAGATAGAACGTTAATTCTATCATATCCTTTACAAATGTGTATAAAGGTTTTCACTCATAAATACCTAGAATAAATTCGAGAATCAGAATAATCTAAAATGGGGGGATTTTTTTTTTCGAAGTAGGACTTTTAAAAAAATATTCTGACAGATCCTCTTTGAAGGGGGACATTAGCTGTATCAGCATTTCTTGCGTATTTTAGACTAGACACCAACTTATTAAATCTCGTGATGATCTCATTTATTGTTTTGTACATAAATCAGGCCGTTAGTTTTCTCGTTTGAATTTTTTTACATTTGTCATTTCGCGGCCTTTTATAGATTACTGTGCGGTATGGGTTTTGCTCATTGTTGAAGGCTGTACGGTGACCTATAGTTGTTAACTTCTACGTCATTTGGTATCTGGTTAAGAGTTGACTTATTGATAATCATACCACATCTTCTAATTTTAATAATGCCTATAAAATGTGGGTGGTATTGGATTCGGGTTAACGTGGAAATTGAAGTACTTGATGATTTTCCGTAAAGCACGTTACATCATAGAGTAAGAGCAGAGACGGGTCGGATCGTTGTCAAAATAATGTGTAAGGGTTGGTTAACTTGTCTTCCTGCGGACTGTTAAAGTGTGAACTAGCGCGTAAAAAAATCTAGCAAAACCTTGTCGGACTTGTATAAAGTAAAGTGCATATTCATATCATATTAACATGTTTGAAAATGACAGTCAATTATTTTGTCTAATATATATGTAAATTCTAATTGTAGAAGATTGCTGGCAGTTGTGAAGGTACTTACAATGCTTGTATCATCGGACTTTTGGTCTCTGCGACTCTTGTTTATGCACTTAATCTTAAGTTTTATCATTCAATTTCAAAAATACATGGGAATATGAAGAATCTGTCAGATATAATACAACAAACATTCAGTCAGACAGTTTCAAAAAGACTTATATGGACTCAACTATTTCATGACAGAAATTTCACCAACACATTAGAACGATGTTCCTGGCCACCAAAATATTTACGTAAGTTTATAATACATATAGTTCTGTAAAAGAAAAAAAATCTATTGTTCTTATAAACATACTATATGGAAGACTTTTTTTAATATCTTGAAGCATGAAAGAGCATCTTGGTATAATCACTGCATGCAGGACGTCACATTAGTCGACTGTGGGCCAATTGTCAGGCGTTTATTTTGTGCGCTTCCCTCGTTATTAATTCCAGTTTGTCTGAAACGATTTGTTTTGTCTGTATTAAAAAAAACATTTGCGAGCGATCATTATATTCTCATTAATTATTTACGTCATAAGAATGTAAGTTGGATATTTGGCGGCGAGCTTCTCTGTATGGTAACAGCTTTTAATATGAATTGTCAAACAGTTATGATGAGAACAACGAATGACTCATTCTATCGATATCAATGGGTTTTTTTTTTCAACGCAGTCTATTATAGTTTCGATTTCGTTTACTTTGACCTTAATATTAAAGTAAACGTTTTATGAACAGGAAATTTTTAGAAAATGATCTTCTCAATATTTCATGTCAACACAAAAGTGAAACTACTGAGCTGGTGATATCCAAAGGTACGAAACATTCACCAGCAGTGGCATACCTTATTAATAATGAAAATATTGTAGCTGCGAGTCTTATTGAATCTAAAGAATTGTACTTGTTGCTTCCACCTCATAACGAAACTTTCTGTCAAAGCTGATTTATATTTCAGATGGACGAGAAACGTTAAATAGAACTGTTTTTGATTTAGAAGACCTAAATGAAGTTTTCACATTTATGAAAGATGGACATTATAAACCGACAAACTGCACACCCAAGCAGAGAGTTGCAATTATTGTACCTTATAGAGACAGAGAACCGCAGATGAAAATTTTCTTAAATAATGTGATACCTAGGATATACAGACAACAGTTAGAATTTGGTATTTACATTGTAGAGCAAGTAAGTATTGGCATATTGAACAAACTGATGTAACTATATAGTTTGTAGCTGTTAATGACAAAAAATATAATAAAGAAATAGACGCGTCAGTAAAGAATAAAAACATACTGATCATGTTTGATACAAAAGTTTCATATAAAACAATACACAATGTCTGAAATCGTTATAAAGTACCAACATTTCGCTTGTATTCTTGACTAGACGCCATCTGATCAACTATCGACATGACCAACGAAAACTGTCGATGCGGCATGTGACCCCGTTATAACTATAACCAAATGGATAAACAAAAAAATACAAATACACAGGTAAGCAAGTGTAACTGTATAAGGTCAATTATTTTAGTTCTGTTTGCTCTCATTTCTTAAATAAAAAAACAAATTAATTAAATGTAAATAATTTACTCACAACCTGTATAAGACTGATTGTTTTCCTGGTAAAATCAATCAACGAAAGTGGTCTTCCAGCTGCTACCTTTTTTGATTTCGCTTTTTCAACTGACATTCATTTCGATCACTGCTTGGATATGCTTGGATCATGCGCACCACATCTCCAACAAAGGTTAAATCATAAGTCTCATAAATACTGATTCAAATGATGTTAAATTATTGACTTCAGCGATGTTTATTTTGACAAAACTGAACCGAATTGACAGCTAGTAACGATATATTATTTCAGTGTTTTGTTTTTGTAAATGTTTGAAACAAATCAAATAATATTTAAATCGTACCTAGTGCCAGATACATTTTTGTTTCTACTTTATGGTATGGGTAAGATAACGTAATGCATGACATACATGTTTGCATGAGAAAGAGCGAGTAATTGGTTATATTTTATTATAGACATCTGGTGTTCCCTTTAACAGAGGTATGCTGTCAAATATTGGATTTAAAGAAGCCATATTAGATATGAAGTATGACTGTATAGTTATACACGACCTAGACATTTTACCAGAAGACGATAGAAATTTTTATACGTGTGCCGACAATCCTATACATATGGCAGTCAAAGTTCAGCAATTCAAATATAAGTAAGTAAAACATATTATAGCAGATTACCATCTAGTGAAGTCATCTTTTAAAAACTCTTCTTCCTTCTTGAACATCGCCGTATGAGACTTAGTATCGTTTTGTTTCCATAATCGTTGAAAAATAATACCAACTAACGACTAAAAAGTTTGAAATTCCTTCCCAAGGTTATGATACAAGCTAGCCGAGTATATGGGTTTCTGAAATGACCAGATTATCTGATCAAAGGAACACTGACATTCTTCCCAAACTGATGGTAAAAAGTTATTCCTAATTGTACTTAATCATTTTGAATTTTATTTATCTAGGCTAAACTTAATATTTTAAATTGGTACAGTTGTTTCCAAATAAAATGTTAGTACCTTATAATACCAACTGATTGTCGTTAGCAATTTTTACATATTCAAAGAATAAACTGTCAAATCAATCATACAACAATCTATAAATGTAATGGTAATTTTACAGAAAAGAATGGTTTGTTATAAAGATTGTGTATTCTAGGGATTCAGGCGATATAATGAAAAATACTTAAAGTTTAAAAAACAGAGCCTCAAATCTACTCGAATATTATATACAATATTGTTTTACAGTTTGCCATACAAAGGTTTTGCTGGAGGCGTGACTACATTTTCAAAACTTCAATATGAGAAAATAAACGGATTTTCTAACCAGTATTTTGGATGGGGAGGCGAGGACGACGATTTGTTTACAAGGTAAGATAATTGAGAAGAGAAATGCTGATATTTTTTATGATTCTAAAGTGCGTTATATACATACCGGAAATGTTCTAGAGCAAATGAAACAACATGTGAAACATGTATGGTTATTTCCTGTAATTTTGTAGTTAGTTTATCGCATTAATAACATTTAGAAAAAAAATCTGTTTAATTCTATAAAAACCTCTCTATAACGTTTTCGACGGAAGAAACATCAAAGGTAAACCGAGTTGAAAATGTCTGATGAAGTATTCAGTAGAAAAAAATATGGTGCTATAGACCGCTTGTGTCGAGAATGTTACTGAATGAAAAAATCAATACCAATGATTTTCAGATGGTTTAGTCAGTAAATATCCCCAAAAAATTATTTCACTCAACCATGGACTTGCCCTTTCTAATATTGGTTTTTGTCAATCTAAGTTTTGTATTATATAGCCTCATTCAACAAGAACGATGAAAAATAAGTAAGAAAAGATGTATCCCAGTTAACAGCATGCAATTGCAAAAGGTAAGTGTTATTTCTTACTCCTTTTTCTTCTGTTTTGCAGAATGAAGAAAAATAATTACAGTTTGATTCGTCCATTCGAAGAATTTGGACACTGTGGAAGTATCAAACACCAGCAAGCTAATAAAAAGAATGATAGGTTTGTAGACGTTTTACAGTTCACGTACATTGATTGACAAAAGATAAGAAATACAAAAAATATGATACATGTATCAGTATCGGAGAAAATATCTTTATTGATTTAAACTGTTTCGTAATTTACGTTTCATTAACCAGAACTAGTTTTTGCTTTGATGACTATTCATGCGTTGTTAGTGCCATAACTTTTGTGTGAAAAAAGAAAAAGGGAATACATCACGGGGAAATAAAACACATACGTTAAATCCAAAAGGACAACACCATAACAGACATAAAAGACGAATAGACAAATAACTATCCACAAAATATTTCAAAGAAAATTAGAATTTAGCAAAACGAATCCTAGCATAAATCAGATGTTAACTACAGATTTTAACTCGGTTGCTTCGTAAGTGTATAAGTTCTTGTCTCACCGGTGAAACTTTACGTGATAGTCTTGTTTTTAACCGCTAATAAAACGGTCACAAAGCATTACATTATAGCGTATTGGTCAATGTTTATAAATGTAAGTTCTCAAACCCATATACATAACTGAATATGAAGGCTATCATTAACACAGTTTTATTGACAATGTAGTAATGTGGCGTTGAGATAAGACATTTGGTTATATTTTTAGGTTGAAAATACTGAAGTATGCCCATAAAATATGGCAGAGAGATGGACTGAACAATTTAAAGTACAACTTACTGATTAAAAGATTGAAACAGTTATATGTATGGATATACGTAAATATAGATATGCTGAACGTCCGAAAGGTTAAACTTAAATTACTTTTAAAGTAAATCTTTTCATGTACATTTTCAAAAACTCATGCAATTCAAAGATTTATTGGGCTTAAGAATTGCACTGAGACACAGGTCTCTTTTTAATTACTGGGAAAGGTATTTCATATACAGGTAAACAATAAATTAGATTAAAAATGTGTCAACTTTGCATAATTGGTCATATATTAAATATTAGGTTTTTGGTAAATTGATAAAATTGCCATAATTGCATTGTATTGATATAGTAGAATTTATTATGCAATTAGCCAATTGATTTTTGAATAAAGATTTACACATACACTAATGAGATATTTGGTTAATATCTAAGTACATCGTTCAATGTTTACTGCTGCTGTAATGAGAGTACGGCAATATTTCAATTACTGTAAAAAGTCACAGTTCTTTTTGGTGTCCACGTACAAACAATTTGAATTCAAAAACTATTTTGCAAATGAATTCAATACAACAACGTACTGAATGATAAAAACATTATACTAGCATTGCTTAAATAAAAAATAAATGTCCTTTTTACTGGCACGGAGAAATAGAAAGTTCTGCAAGTGTTTTCCTGCTATTTGAGCTTATGTAAATATTTAAATTGTACATATATTGCATATGCATATTCGTAATCGGTTTTGTGCTGCTAGTTTTTTAGTTTTAAAGTTTGCATTCCTTTCACTTTGCCTTTGCTTATCAATTAGATTTTTCTTTATTTATTGTCACAATCATTGGTTTTGCCCTAACGTCCCAATTTATGAGTGTATACTGAGTTATCTTACATTTACTTGATTATGACCTGTAGTTTTTAAAAGTTTACATTGTCAGTATTGTTGTATATGACAGGCTGCTAGGCTTTTCACAACAGTTTTTTTTACAGTTTTCTTTGTCCCATTTATGATACGATTACTTTTTTTCTGATTTGTGATACTTATTTGACGGTGATTATCTCTCGTCTGCGTAAACAATATTCGGATTCATACTTACTGCACGTAACGATACGGGTATTACGAAAAGGAGACGATATCTTGGAATATAACTTCACCATCGCAGATTATCGGTGTACACTACCAGTATTACATTTTGTAATCATATCTCAAACAAAATTTCCAGTAACCCACCTAAATATGTTCCAAAATATTCATTTCGAATAATTGACAGTTCAGAAGGGACTAACTGTGTATCTCTAATGGCAGATCTATCCCATTACTGTTATGAAACAGAATGTATGACAAAACTTTACAAAGACATAAACGAAACACCATTTAATAGATATTTCAATCATATCTGGATATGTTTAGACAATATGTTCACTGTAAACAATTCAGATAAAAAATTATATACCCATGAAATTTAAGAACCTCGACTCATTCCTACTAAATCAAACATTCATATTGAACGAAGCTCTTTTTACCTCCGTCAAAATGGCAACAGCAGGTCTATAGTAACAGTTTGTCTCCGTCCATCCAAAAAGACCGATGGTATAAAAATGTCCGTCCTTGTTTCCTTGGCTGCTATACTATATCTTTACATATTAAGGTACTTAAAACCTTTTCATAGAAATAATAATTGTTATGCTAAATAGTTTGATCTATTCAAACATTATCATCCCTTTGCATTATCAATAAAAAGACTTTATTCAAGTCAAATTGAACGTAGTTTTGAAATCATCTAATATTGTTTAAAGCAGGGATATATGTATTCATAATTCATTTGTAAAAACTTGACTTAATTATATCACAATGATAGAGATTTATTTAAAAGAATTCCACCAGGAATTTAATAAATTGTTTAATTCGTCTCAATCTTTTTATGTTGATAATATTTATGAAGCTAACAAGTTTCGGAATCGTCATTCAATTATTTTTCATTTGCGTTTTACACTTTTTGATTGAGGTTATAATGAAACTTTTGTTATTAAATCAATGAGTCTGATATTTTTATTTAAAAATCCTTTTGCTTAATATATTCAAAAGTCAATTTGCTAAATTGAATTTATATTTTAAAGTTATGATAAAATGTTATTGTTTTTCTGCACTGTTCTCTGGGCATTGCTCAAGATTATGTCTTCCTGTACTATTGATGTATGTGTGTATTTTCTATGAAATACAACAACCGTTACTAGAGTGTAGTTTGTCCATGATTTCCTATCAACGGGTAAAGTATTGTGTTTGATACGGTATAATGTTCTTTGAAATGTCTTCCCTGTTTCAATTGCACGTTCTTTTTATGGATCGTCTGTTAGTTCACTGGTTGAAGTTAAAAAGTTTGATATCTAACTAAATAGTTCAACCTCGCAACATATTCCTTTGCATGTCATAAGTCCAGAACCTGGTCAGGGGCTGCTTGTCTCGCATGATACTGTTTTTGTTGTTGTTTAGTTACACTGTCCAATGTTATTGGATAACTCAGCGCTCGCAAACATGTTTAACCCCGCTTCTCCCTGTATATGACTGTCCCCAATAAAAATAACACGAACAATTTATACAGATAGCAGCTATAGGCCAGTTTGTTTTGTAAATGAACATCTGTAATACTTTGATCTTTTAGTGTTATTAGCTTTAATAAATCCGTTTATTATTCTGGTTTTAATTGTTCCACATTTGGTATAAGAATTCCATATCCCCTCCGAATCTATAAAATGTTTAGGTATCTAGTGTAAAGTCAGCACCAATTATAAACTTTAAAACTCCTACTAGAGGTTTCCCGATTTGCTACGTATCAGATACAGGTGGTACGTAACTCAACCGTTTGTGTTGTTTTGAGGGTATCATTTAATGCATGAGATTATTTTATTCATCATGATAAGATTAAAGAAATCAAGTTGCATATCAGCAAAATCTAGCTTAACTTTTTTAACTTTTTATTTGATAGCGATTTCACCGTTAATAGAATACTTTGTTTGTGATTTTATATAAAATTATCTAGTTAGTGCACAAGTGCGTGAATCAAACAGACCTGACACGAACTGAGTTGAGATGGCCTTTAAATTCTAAATATAGATCTACGTTTTTTATTGTTTAATGTATTGTTTTTGTTTTGTTTACATATAAAAAATATTAGAAGTATATTTTCCTATATTGAACAGAATTATGAATAATAAAAATATTTTCTATGATCGATCGAATTTCTTAAAAACGTGTTACTGATGGTGGTTATATGTCAAAACTGTGTTAATTTTTCAATATAGTTCTTGCATGATTTTGAAATAAGTTAATATTATTTAAGTAATAGATTTTGACAATGACAAGTTTTTTTCTTGAAAAGATAAGAATGCTGGGATTTCATATTGAGTGAGAAAAGGGCACCCTGCTAATGTTTTTTTTTATCAACAACTGAAAATATTTTTTTTTAGAAATGCATTCTAAAAAGTAAACTAAAAATATTGAAAATAAATATTAACGACTCTATTGCCGATGAAAAAACCCCTCCAATATATAGAATTGTTGAAATGAAAATGAACGAGAAAAATTGTCATATAATTATAGTAAATTACACTGACACTCTTCTTGAAAGAGTTTACAGGCGAATCTTTTAACTAAATTATTTATTATAATTTGACCATTTCTTCGTACTTTTATTATTGGTGAAATCTCTAATACATTGTAATATAAAAATAAGGAGATGTAGTATTTTTTTCCCAATGAGACAACTATCCACCAAAGTTCAAATGAAGTGGATGTTAGCAATCATAGGCAACCGTACGTCCTTCAACAATAAGAAAATCCCTATACCATATAGTAAAAAGCCCTAACATGAAAACTATGAAACTTTTCAATTGAGGAAACTAACGGCCTAATTTATAACAAAACAGTTTACGAAAAACAAATATGACAGAAATGAACCAACTACAACCGCTAAACTACAGTCTCCCTGACTTTGCAAAGACAGGCACATAAAGAATGTGGCGGGGTTAAAAACATTTGAAGATGCCAACCTTCCCCTAACCTGTGACAGTGGTGTAAAAGTACAACATAAGAACAAGCTATAAAAATCAGTTGAAAAGAGCTTAACACATCAGATTAATGCAAAGGAGAAAAACCTCTAACGCAAACACAAACCGAAAGTGGTGGACGATAAATACGACGATTTTGTCTTTAAATGCCGAAAAACATATGAAGGTAAAGAGAATAAATATTGTAAAATGTGAACTACGAAAATGTGAAGATTTAATACTGATTATTAATAAACATTGTTGATCACCTATATGGAAATGTATTAATTTGTATACATTTTAAATATATTTTTTGAGTAATTTGGAGAAATCTGTACTGCGAAGTTTTATTTCATCATTAATACATTATTACTGAGGTTAAATTTGTTTGTTGAAGTGGCTCCTATGTTTTTATGTTTTCTAAAAGCCTAACCAAAAAAATTCACACAATTTATTCTATATTGTATCAATCATATAACGGGCGAAAATCAGATAGATTAAAATGAGCTTTATATTTTAGCTTCTTTTTGCCTCTGCAATTTCAGGGGAAATACATTTAAATTATAATCCGTACGTGCAACGATTACTTGTAACGGTTGCTTGAATGCATAATCGAATACACACAATAGTGTTTGCTATAAATACGACAATTATCCAAGCTAAATTAATACCTAGTTGCAGCTAAAAATCCTCAAAATACTTTTGATTATTATTCATAAAACATACGTTGACATTAAGTATATTCGTCAAGTATTTCCGAAAGGTCAAAGACGGCTCCCAGTTCGTACTACGCTTGGTACGGTAGCAAATCGGGAACTTCTACTTTGATTGTCTCTTTGTGTCATTTAACTTTTCATAAAAAATATTAAAAAATTATATATGATGATGTTGTTTTCGACTGCTTGTAATAGAACATTACGGGGTTATTACTTCAAGAGGGCAGAGCTCCATAAAATATATTACTGTTATTTGTTTGTTTTATAGAAAGGTAAACAAAAAGGAGTTATAAATGAAGTTGACTGACTTCAGAAAAAACAATGTGGCAACATAAACAATTAAATTTCTTTAACAGCATTACATATATACCAGTTATTAGTTTTTATACGCCCGTCAATTTTTGACTGGACGTATTATGGTATACAAATGTCCGGTGTCCGTCCGTCCGTCCGTCCGTCCGTCCGTCTGTCCGTCTGTCCGGCGTAAACATGTCGCACCGTAACATCAGAACGACTTATCCAAATTTCATGAAACTTTAAATAGTTGTTTCTCATGATGATCAAACAATCTGTATACTTTTTGAAGAAAATGAAATTACAACTTTTTCAGTTACGGGACTTTGTAACTAAAACAGGGGTGTGTTTTTTTTTTTTACATGTCGCGCCGTATCTCAAAAATAATTTATGATTATTGCTTAAAACTTTACACACTTCTTAGTTATATTAATCTTAAGATCTGTATACTTTTTGGCGATGATTCAAAATTTTATTTTAGAGATATAGAGTATTTTGTTAAAAAAGGGGGAGGGGTTTTTCACATGTCACGCCATATCTCAAAAACAGTTTATGATTATTGCTTAAAACTTTACACAATTCTTAGTTATATTAATCTTAAGATCTGTATACTTTTTGGTGATGATTCAAAATTTTATTTTTGAGTTATTGAGTATTTTGTAAAAAAAGGGGGAGGGGTTTTTCACATGTCGCGCCGTATCTCAAAAACGATTTATGATTATTGCTTAAAATTTTACACACTTCTTAGTTATATTAATCTTAAGATCTGTACACTTTTTGGTTTTGATTCAAAATTTTATTTTAGAGATATTGAGTATTTTGTAAAAAAAAAAGGGGGCTTTTCGCATGTCAGACCGTATGTCAGAAACTATTTATGATTATTGCATAAAAATTCACACATAAGACGACAGGCGTATCATGCGCTCATGGCGCAGCTGTTTATTATAATAGAAAAACAAAGGATATGGGATGTCCATCCATGACACAAAATCTGTACATGCACAGCAAAAAAACACACAAATGTTGTTTATATTTATGTTTGATTGTATTTCAGAGCCTTGATATCAAGTTAAACATATGATTCTTCAGATTCCAAGGAATTAACGTTTTCACTTTGGATGGCAACACTAGCAAATAAAGAGAAAGACACAGAAACAGACTTGTGACATGAATGCTAATTATAAAAGAACCTACTTTTGTTATATTTAAATATGATCAAAGGAGATATTTGCAATAAAGTAGTACACGTTTTTAACTACACTTGTGTGTCTAGCATTTAAGCAGCATATTCAATTTGAAAATATAAATGTTTTTCTACAATTTTAACTGTATCTTATTCGCTTTGATATCTTTCAATTTCTTTATCGTTTATTAGATCTGATATGTTTAGTGAATAATAATGTATTAGTGAAAGGGTAATGTGGACTGGAGATACATTCCAGTAAATCGCAATAGAGATGATACAGGAACTAGAATTCTTTCATGTTATTTATAAGACATTCTTTGAAAAAATGGAGTATGCTGGAAAATGGACAACAGAGCCTCGTTCCTTAATGGCATAATGTTCAGGTAAAAACACTGTGCATATATTAGAGTTCATTTTGTCTTGAAATAAGGATGAGTTCTTGTAAACTTACAAATACCAAATTTATTTAGCTGGATGTTGTGTATATCAAAAATTAAAAACCAATGAGGCGTAAAAAAACCAGACATAAAAAGAGCAGGTATATTCGTAACCATATTAGTTTGATTACCTCAATTAACTTTGTCAGAAGGACCAGCATGTCTCGTTTGTGACACTTTTGTGGATTTTGTCATGTTTCTAGTTTTTGCACCTGCTACTGGCAGATACTTCTAAATTTTATCAATGTTGTTTGTGCTGTATTTAGACCCCTCTACCAAGAAATTTGTTTTGCATGCACACGTATAAAAATTTCGGTTTTTATCCAACGCAATCGTAGGATTGAACGTTGTGTTCAATTTAGACTTGTCTTTACTATCTATATATATATATATGTAACCAAGTCTAAATTGAAAACAAGGTTCAAACCTATGATTGCGTTGGATAAAAACCGTAATTTTTATACGTGTGCATGCAAAACAAATTTCTTGGTAGAAGGGTCTAAATACAGCAAAAACAACATTTTTCAAAAGACCAAAAAAAGTGAAAAAAGTATATTTTTACAAAATGCATTTGACAAGCAGGTCAAACAACGGATGTTCTTAAACCCTACTGACTGCCATGGCGATTGCCAAATAAATTGATCACCAGATGTAACAAAATGAATCTTAATTATTAATTTAATACCAAACAGAAAACAATAAACTTCCGGAAAAGATGGTATATCGCAAACATGAGGTGGAAAAATTGGTACACGGATTTCGACAATTAATGTCCCTTCAGTGATGTTAGGAATCGAGACTGTATTTGGAAGGCCATATAATTTACCTCAATTTAGGATAGACTCTTGAACTTTGAAGAGTCGAAATAGGATGAACGGATTACATAAACCCGAAGGCAAATATAATACAAGCCCAAACGAAAAAATATAAACAAGTCTAAATTGAAAACAACGTTCAAACCCATGATTGCGTTGAATAAAAACCGCAATTTTTATACGTGTACATGCAAAACCAATATCTTGGTACAGAGGTCTAAATACAACACAAACAACATTTTCCAAAAAAAAAAAAAAGTGAAAAAGTATATATATATATATAAAAGTCTAAATTGAAAACAACGTTCAAACATATGATTGCGTTGGATAAAAACCGCAATTTTTATACGTGTGCATGTAAAACAAATTTCTGGGTAGAGGGGTCTAAATACAGCACAAACATCAATTTTCAAAAGACCAAAACAGTGAAAAAGTCTATTTTAACAAAACGCATTTGACTAACAGGTCGAACAACTGATGTTCTTAAACCCTGCTGACTGCCATTGGCGATTGCCAAATAAATTGATCACCAGATCTAACGAAATGGATCTTAATATTAATTCTATACCAAACAGAAAACAATAAACTTGTGGAAAAGATGGTATACCACAAACATGAGGTGCAAACATTTGTCCACCATATCCGGATTTCGACAATTAATGTCTCTTCAGTGATGTTAGGGATCGAAACGGTATTTGGAAAGCCATATAATTAACCTCAATTTAGGATAGACTCTTGAATTTTAAAGAGTCGAAATAGGATGAACGGATCATATAAACACGAAGGAAAATATAATACAAGCCAAAACGAAAAGATATATAAAAGTCTAAATTGAAAACAACGTTCAAACCTATGATTGCGTTAGATAAAAACCGCAATTTTTATACGTGTGCATGTAAAACAAATTTCTGGGTAGAGGGGTCTAAATACAGCACAAACAACAATTTTCAAAAGACCAAAAAAGTGAAAAAGTCGATTTTAACAAAACGCATTTGACTAACAGGTCGAACAACTGATGTTGTTAAACCCTGCTGACTGCCATTGGCGATTGCCAAATAAATTGATCACCAGATCTAACGAAATGGATCATAATATTAATTCTATACCAAACAGAAAACAATAAACTTGTGGAAAAGATGGTATACCACAAACATGAGGTGCAAACATTTGTACACCATATCCGGATTTCGACAATTAATGTCTCTTCAGTGATGTTAGGGATCGAAACGGTATTTGGAAAGCCATATAATTTGCCTCAATTTAGGATAGACTCTTGAATTTTAAAGAGTCGAAATAGGATGAACGGATCATATAAACCCGAAGGAAAATATAATACAAGCCAAAACGAAAAAGATATATAAAAGTCTAAATTGAAAACAAAGTTCAAACCTATGATTGCGTTGGATAATAACCGCAATTTTTATACGTGTGCATGTAAAACAAATTTCTTGGTAGAGGGGTCTAAATACAGCACAAACAACAATTTCCAAAAGACCAAAAAAAGTGAAAAAGTCGATTTTAACAAAACGCATTTGACTAACAGGTCGAACAACTGATGTTCTTAAACCCTGCTGACTGCCATTGGCGATTGCCAAATAAATTGATCACCAGATCTAACGAAATGGATCTTAATATTAATTCAATACCAAACAGAAAACAATAAACTTGTGGAAAAGATGGTATACCACAAACATGAGGTGCAAAAATTTGTACACCATATCCGGATTTCGACAATTAATGTCTCTTCAGTGATGTTAAGGATCGAAACAGTATTTGGAAAGCCATATAATTTACCTCAATTTAGGATAGACTCTTGAATTTTAAAGAGTCGAAATAGGATGAATGGATCATATAAACCCGAAGGAAAATATAATACAAGCCCAAACGAAAAAATATATAAAATTCTAAATTGAAAACAACGTTCAAACCTATGATTGCGTTGGATAAAAACCGCAATTTTCTTTACATGTGCATGTAAAACAAATTTCTTGGTAGAGGGGTCTAAATACAGCACACACAACAATTTCCAAAAGACCAAAAAAAGTGAAAAAGTCTATTTTAACAAAACGCATTTGACTAACAGGTCGAACAACTGATGTTCTTAAACCCTGCTGACTGCCATTGGCGATTGCCAAATAAATTGATCACCAGATCTAACGAAATGGATCTTAATATTAATTCAATACCAAACAGAAAACAATAAACTTGTGGAAAAGATGGTATACCACAAACATGAGGTGCAAAAATTTGTACAACATATCCGGATTTCGACAATTAATGTCTCTTCAGTGATGTTAGGGATCGAAACGGTATTTGGAAAGCCATATAATTTACCTCAATTTAGGATAGACTCTTGAATTTTAAAGAGTCGAAATAGGATGAACGGATCATATAAACCCGAAGGAAAATCTAATACAAGCCCAAACGAAAAAATATATAAAAGTCTAAATTGAAAACAACGTTCAAACCTATGATTGCGTTGGATAAAAACGCAATTTTTATACGTGTGCATGTAAAACAAATTTCTTGGTAGAGGGGTCTAAATACAGCACAAACAACAATTTCCAAAAGACCAAAAAAAGTGAAAAAGTCTATTTTAACAAAACGCATTTGACTAACAGGTCGAACAACTGATGTTCTTAAACCCGGCTGACTGCCATTGGCGATTGCCAAATAAATTGATCACCAGATCTAACGAAATGGATCTTAATATTACTTCAATACCAAACAGAAAACAATAAACTTGTGGAAAAGATGGCATACCACAAACATGAGGTGCAAAAATTTGTACACCATATCCGGATTTCGACAGTTAATGTCTCTTCAGTGATGTTAGGGATCGAAACAGTATTTGGAAAGCCATATAATTTACCTCAATTCAGGATAGACTCTTGAATATTAAAGAGTCGAAATAGGATGAACGGATCATGTAAACCCGAAGAAAAAAATATAATACAAGCCCAAACGAAAAAAATATATCAAAGTCTAAATTGAAAATAACGTTCAAACCTATGATTGCGTTAGATAAAAACCGCAACTTTTATACGTGTGCATGTAAAACAAATTTCTTGGTAGAGGGGTCTAAATACAGCACAAACATCAATTTCCAAAAGACCAAAAAAAGTGAAAAAGTCTATTTTGACAAAACGCATTTGACTAACAGGTCGAACAACTGATGTTCTTAAACCCTGCTGACTGCCATTGGTGATTGCCAAATAAATTGATCATCAGATCTAACGAAATGGATCTTAATATTAATTCAATACCAAACAGAAAACAATAAACTTGTGGAAAAGATGGTATACCACAAACATGAGGTGCAAAAATTTGTACACCATATCCGGATTTCGACAATTAATGTCTCTTCAGTGATGTTAGGGATCGAAAAGGTATTTGGAAAGCCATATAATTTACCTCAATTTAGGTAGACTTTTGAATTTTAAAGAGTCGAAATAGGATGAACGGATCATATAAACACGAAGGAAAATATAATACAAGCCCAAACGAAAAAATATATAAAAGTCTAAATTGAAAACAACGTTCAAACCTATGATTGCGTTGGATAAAAACCGCAATTTTCATACGTGTGCATGTAAAACAAATTTCTTGGTAGAGGGGTCTAAATACAGCACAAACAACAATTTCCAAAAGACCAAAAAAAGTGAAAAAGTCTATTTTGACAAAACGCATTTGACTAACAGGTCGAACAACTGATGTTCTTAAACCCTGCTGACTGCCATTGGCGATTGCCAAATAAATTGATCACCAGATCTAACGAAATGGATCTTAATATTAATGCAATACCAAACAGAAAACAATACACTTGTAAAAAGGATGGTATACCACAAACATGAGGTGCAAAAATTTGTATACCATATCCGGATTTCGACAATTAATGTCTCTTCAGTGATGTTAGGGATCGAAACGGTATTTGGAAAGCCATATAATTTACCTCAATTCAGGATAGACTCTTGAATTTTAAAGAGTCGAAATAGGATGAACGGATCATATAAACCCGAAGGAAAATCTAATACAAGCCCAAACGAAAAAATATATAAAATTCTAAATTGAAAACAACGTTCAAACCTATGATTGCGTTGGATAAAAACCGCAATTTTCTTTACATGTGCATGTAAAACAAATTTCTTGGTAGAGGGGTCTAAATACAGCACACACAACAATTTCCAAAAGACCAAAAAAAGTGAAAAAGTCTATTTTAACAAAACGCATTTGACTAACAGGTCGAACAACTGATGTTCTTAAACCCTGCTGACTGCCATTGGCGATTGCCAAATAAATTGATCACCAGATCTAACGAAATGGATCTTAATATTAATTCAATACCAAACAGAAAACAATAAACTTGTGGAAAAGATGGTATACCACAAACATGAGGTGCAAAAATTTGTACAACATATCCGGATTTCGACAATTAATGTCTCTTCAGTGATGTTAGGGATCGAAACGGTATTTGGAAAGCCATATAATTTACCTCAATTTAGGATAGACTCTTGAATTTTAAAGAGTCGAAATAGGATGAACGGATCATATAAACCCGAAGGAAAATCTAATACAAGCCCAAACGAAAAAATATATAAAAGTCTAAATTGAAAACAACGTTCAAACCTATGATTGCGTTGGATAAAAACGCAATTTTTATACGTGTGCATGTAAAACAAATTTCTTGGTAGAGGGGTCTAAATACAGCACAAACAACAATTTCCAAAAGACCAAAAAAAGTGAAAAAGTCTATTTTAACAAAACGCATTTGACTAACAGGTCGAACAACTGATGTTCTTAAACCCGGCTGACTGCCATTGGCGATTGCCAAATAAATTGATCACCAGATCTAACGAAATGGATCTTAATATTACTTCAATACCAAACAGAAAACAATAAACTTGTGGAAAAGATGGCATACCACAAACATGAGGTGCAAAAATTTGTACACCATATCCGGATTTCGACAGTTAATGTCTCTTCAGTGATGTTAGGGATCGAAACAGTATTTGGAAAGCCATATAATTTACCTCAATTCAGGATAGACTCTTGAATATTAAAGAGTCGAAATAGGATGAACGGATCATATAAACCCGAAGAAAAAAATATAATACAAGCCCAAACGAAAAAAATATATCAAAGTCTAAATTGAAAATAACGTTCAAACCTATGATTGCGTTAGATAAAAACCGCAACTTTTATACGTGTGCATGTAAAACAAATTTCTTGGTAGAGGGGTCTAAATACAGCACAAACATCAATTTCCAAAAGACCAAAAAAAGTGAAAAAGTCTATTTTCACAAAACGCATTTGACTAACAGGTCGAACAACTGATGTTCTTAAACCCTGCTGACTGCCATTGGTGATTGCCAAATAAATTGATCATCAGATCTAACGAAATGGATCTTAATATTAATTCAATACCAAACAGAAAACAATAAACTTGTGGAAAAGATGGTATACCACAAACATGAGGTGCAAAAATTTGTACACCATATCCGGATTTCGACAATTAATGTCTCTTCAGTGATGTTAGGGATCGAAAAGGTATTTGGAAAGCCATATAATTTACCTCAATTTAGGTAGACTTTTGAATTTTAAAGAGTCGAAATAGGATGAACGGATCATATAAACACGAAGGAAAATATAATACAAGCCCAAACGAAAAAATATATAAAAGTCTAAATTGAAAACAACGTTCAAACCTATGATTGCGTTGGATAAAAACCGCAATTTTCATACGTGTGCATGTAAAACAAATTTCTTGGTAGAGGGGTCTAAATACAGCACAAACAACAATTTCCAAAAGACCAAAAAAAGTGAAAAAGTCTATTTTGACAAAACGCATTTGACTAACAGGTCGAACAACTGATGTTCTTAAACCCTGCTGACTGCCATTGGCGATTGCCAAATAAATTGATCACCAGATCTAACGAAATGGATCTTAATATTAATGCAATACCAAACAGAAAACAATACACTTGTGGAAAGGATGGTATACCACAAACATGAGGTGCAAAAATTTGTATACCATATCCGGATTTCGACAATTAATGTCTCTTCAGTGATGTTAGGGATCGAAACGGTATTTGGAAAGCCATATAATTTACCTCAATTCAGGATAGACTCTTGAATTTTAAAGAGTCGAAATAGGATGAACGGATCATATAAACCCGAAGGAAAATATAATACAAGCCCAAACGAAAAAATATATAAAAGTCTAAATTGAAAACAACGTTCAAACCTATGATTGCGTTGGATAAAAACCGCAATTTTTATACGTGTACATGTGAAACAAATTTCTTGGTAAATGGGGGCCTAAATACAGCACAAACAACAATTTCCAAAAGACCAAAAAAAGTGAAAAAGTCTATTTTAACAAAACGCATTTGACTAACAGGTCGAACTACTGATGTTCTTAAACCCTGCTGACTGCCATTGGCGATTGCCAAATAAATTGATCACCAGATCTAACGAAATGGATCTTAATATTAATTCAATGCCAAACAGAAAACAATATATATAAAATGTCTAAATAATAGCCAACGATATATGTTACGGGGCGATGGATTATATAATTTTGATACAGTACACTACAAAATATAAAATATAATAAGCAAGTGTAAAGGGTACAACATCACAAAAAAAAAGTAAAATCATGAACATATATTAAATATTTCGGATAACTATTATCCTTCATCAGTAAAATGTCAAATGATTCTTATCTTGACATGTGGTAGTCAAACTGAAATAATAATATTGATCGTTATACAAATTATCAAGAATCAATATGCTGGTAAATGCTTTCAACATTGATGTTTGGGAGGAGGAATAAATTCCTGAAAACTGTAAGAGTCCTGTACTGAAACGTGTGTTACAGGAAACAAGTGATGGTAGGGACTCATTCTATGTTATTTCATTAATTCCTTTTGGGGAAACTGTCCTTAACTTTCTTATCCAAAAACTTTCCCGAGCAAGTCCGTCGTCCCTTGACCAACCCTCGTTGTGGTCTATGATAGTGATGGTAAGGTTTTTGAGATCAGCTTTGGCGTGCCAAGGTGATCTCAAATGACGACTTACGGGGAGGTCGGGTTTGCAGGTGTAGTCACTTCGATGATCATTCATGCGTTTGTTGAATGACTGTTCTGTCTCGCCAACATACTGCATGCCACATCGACACTGAAGAAGGTATACAACATTCTGGGTTTTGCAAGTTAAATTGCAATATATAGTGTATACGGACCCAGTGGAGTGGCAAGTAAATGTTTGAGTATTCAGTATTTGTTGGCAAGTCAGACATCGTCTGTTACCACACGACTTGCATCATCCTGCAGTTGGAGAGCTTTTATAAGAGGAGACATCAGCTCTCACAAATAAGTCTCTCAGACTTTTTGGTCTCCCAAAAGCTAAAACAGGAGGTGTGGGAAAGATCTTGGATAATTTTGGGTGTTTGGGAATAATCTGCCAATTGGCACGGATCAAACGGGAAAGATTAGTAAAGGCGGGATTGTATGTAAAACCAAACAGAACTACTTCGCTTCGCCTCTTGCGTTTGTACTGTAATAGGTCATTGCGGCTGTTATTAATAGCACGCGCAAACCTCTTATATATCTCCCATTTCTTATAACCTCGTTTGGTAAAAAAATCCGCAAAGTTCCTGTAACCGTTTAGCGACAGCCTCCTCAGAGGAGCAAATCCTCTTTACTCTGAGAGCTTGACTGTACGGGATACTTTTTGTACAGTTTTTGGGGTGACAGCTTTGGGGAGAAAGGTACTGATGTTTATTTGTAGGGTTACAGTAGAGGTATGTTGATATGACACTGTCCTTTATAGATGTAGTTGTGTCCAAAAAAGAAAGTTTACATTCGGAAATTTCATATGTGAATTTAATTGACTGGTGGGCGTTGTTTGCGTGTTTGATAAAATCATCCAGTTCTTACTGGGATTCCATCCATTTCATGTCAATATCATCGATGAAACGGAACCAAGACAGAGGTTTAGATGAAGATGTTGAAATGATTTTTTTCTCTAATTTGCCCATGAAAATATTGGCGTAAGACGGTGCCATTTTCGTCCCCATCGCTGTCCCGTTTATCTGAAGGTAGTGTTCACCATTGAAGGTGAAATTGTTGCATTTCAGACCCAGAGTAAGCAGCTGGACTAATCATTCGATGGGTGGTTCAAAAATGATGCACGAGTCCATATTTCCTTGCACGATTGTATTCCGTCATCATGAGGTATGTTGGTATACAATGAGGTGACATCCAAAGTGACCAGGAGAGTTTCCGGGGGAAGAGGGTTCATGGATTCCATTTTACGAAGGTAATCTGTGGTGTCTTGAATGTGAGAAGAAAGATTTTCTACATGAGATCTTAAATGGAAGTCTACGAATTCCGAGATTTTCCCAGTCGGGTGGCCGTTTGCGGATACAATGGGTCTACAAAGGTTGTTAATCTTGTGTATTGTGGGACGAAGATACAATCGACCAGGCTTGGCGTTCTCTGGTTTTAAATATATGTAGGGTCATGGTCATGGACAAAATCAAATCGGATGTTGTTCATCTTGCTAACAAGTACTCGTCGTTTTATAACATCTCTTCTGACAAGAAAACAGCAATACGATCGCTGAGAAACCGAGATGATATTGTGATAAAACAAGCAGACAAAGGAAGTGTCGTTGTGATAATGGACAAAGCTAACTACATCGCGGAAGCAGAGCGTCAGCTCTCTGATGAGAGATTTTATAAGAAGCTTGACAATGACCCTACTTCCGAGTTGAGTTCACAAATTATTACGGCGTTACAAACCTTGTACAATGACGGTCACATAGATGAGGATACAATCGGATACTAGTATTTAAAACCAGAGAACGCCAAGCCTGGTCGATTGTATCTTCTGCTCTATAATCTGGTTCTGAAATGCAACAATTTCACCTTAAATGGTGAACATTACCTTCAGATAAACGGGACAGCGATGGGGACGAAAATGGCACCGTCTTACGCCAGTATTTTCATGGGCAAATTAGAGAAACAAATCATTTCAACATCTTTATCTAAACCTCTGTCTCGGTTCCGTTTCATCGATGATGTTGACATGAAATGGATGGAATCCCAACAAAAACTGGATGATTTTATCAAACATGCAAACAACGCCAACCAGTCAATTAAATCACATATAAACATTCCGATTTTAAAATATCTTTCTTGGACACAACTACTTCTATAAAGGACGGTGTCATATCAACATACCTCTACTGTAAACATACAGATAAACATCAGTACCTTTCTCCTCATAGATAAAGGGTTTGTGCGTGCTAACAATATCAATAATGTCTTAGCTTTTGGAAGACCAAAAAGTCTGAGAGACTTATTTGTGAGAGCTAGTGTCTCCTCTAATAAAAGCTCTTCAACTGCAGGATGGTGGAAGTCGTGTGGTAACAGACGATGTCTGACTTGCCAACAAATACTGAATACTCAAACAATTACTTGCCACTCCACTGGGTCCGTATACACTATATATTGCAATTTAACTTGCAAAACCCAGAATGTTGTATACCTTCTTCAGTGTCGATGTGGCATGCAGTATGTTGGCGAGACAGAACAGCCTTTCAACAAACGCTTGAATGGTCATCGAAGTGACTACACCTGCAAACCCGACCTCCCCGTAAGTCGTCATTTGAGATCACCTGGGCACGCCAAAGCTGATCTCAAAAACCTTACCATCACTATCATAGACCACAACAAGGGTTGGTCAAGGGCCGACGGACTTGCTCGACAAAGTTTTTTGATAAGAAAGTTAAGAACAGTTTCCCCAAAGAGCATTAATGAAAACAAATAGAATGAGTCCCTACCATCACTTGTTTCCTGTAACTCAGGCTTCAGTACAGGACTCTTACAGTTTTAAGGAATTTAATCCTCCTCCCAAACATCAATATTGAAAAAAATTACCAGCATATTGATTCTTGATTTAATTTGTATAACGATCAAGATTATTATTTCAGTTTGACTACCACATGTCAAGATAAGAATCATTTGACATTTTACTGATGAAGGATATTAGTTATCCGAAACATTTAACATTTGTTCATGATTTTACTTGTTGTTGGTGATTTTGTATCCTTTTAGACTTCCTTATTATATATATATATAATATTATATTTGCCTTCGGGTTTATATGATCCGTTCATCCTTTTTCGACTCTTCAAAATTCAAGAGTCTATCCTAAATTGAGGTAAATTATATGGCCTTCCAAATACCGTTTCGATTCCTAACATCACTGAAGAGACATTAATTGTCGAAATCCGGATATGGTATACTAATTTTTGCACCTTTTGTTTGCGATATACCATCTTTTCCGCAAGTTTATTGTTTTCTGTTTAGTATTAAATTAATAGTTAAGATCCATTTTGTTACATCTGGGGAACCGTTTATTTGGCAATCGCCAATGGCAGTCAGCAGGGTTTAAGAACATCCGTTGTTCGACCTGCTAGTCAAAGGCGTTTTGTTTAAATATACTTTTTCCTTTTTTTGGGTTTTTGGAAAATGTTGTTTTTGCTGTATTTAGACCCCTCTAACAAGAAATTTGTTTTGCATGCACACGTATAAAAATTGCGGTTTTTATCCAACGCAATCATACGTTTGAACGTTGTTTTCAATTTAGACTTGTTTATATATAGACCCCTCTAACAAGAAATTTGTTTTGCATGCACACGTATAAAAATTGCGGTTTTTATCCAACACAATCATAGGTTTAAACGTTGTTTTCAATTTAGACTTGTTTATATTTTTTCGTTTGGGCTTGTATTATATTTGCCTTCGGGTTTATATGATCCGTTCATCCTATTTTGACTCCTCAAAATTCAAGAGTCTATCCTAAATTGAGGTAAATTATGTGGCCTTCCAATAACCGTTTCGATTCCTAACATCACTGAAGAGACATTAATTGTTGAAATCCGGATATGGTGTACAAAAAATATTTGCACCTTTGTTTGCGGTATACCATCTTCGCCGCAAGTTTATTGTTTTCTGTTTGGTATTAAATTTAAAGTTAAGATCCATTTATTACACCTTGTGATCCGTTTATTTGGCAATCGCCAATGGCAGTCAGCAGGATTTAAGAACATTTGTTGTTCGACCTGTTAGTCAAATGCGTTTTGTTAAAATATACTTTTTCACTTTTTTGGTCTTTTGGAAAATGTTGTTTGTGCTGTATTTAGACCCCTCTAACAAGAAATTTGTTTTGCATGCACACGTATAAAAATTGCGGTTTTTATCCAACGCAATCATA